AACGTAGAAATTAAAAGCACATTTTTGTTTTTTTTCGGGATATATGATAGAAGGGTACTCTCTTATGTAAATCCAAACATGCTAGTGCACGGTGGACGACTCACTGGTTTTGAAAATTCTAAGGGCACCTCGCGCTTGTTTTTTCGTATGGTTCCTATCGATGTAAGTTTGTGGTCAGAAAGTAATTTCTTGATAAGTGGCAAAGAAGTGAACCAATTGTCCATTGTAACGTTGCGACCTGATCCAGAAATATGCTGACACAATCTTAGAACAACATCATACGGAGTGTTTGACAATTTATAGGGCCCTTCTGGTTGTAATCCTACATACACCTCCAGCTTGCTCGTGAAGAACATTAGTGCGTCGCAAATTGCCAGTATTTTCAGACCGTACTTATTGGTTTTAGAGGGTATGTACTGGCGAAAGCTGCACCTTCCTCTAAACCCCACTAACATCTCGTCAATGGTAACGTATGCCGAATGGTGATAGCCTCTTTGGCAATTGGTGTTGAAGAGGTCGAAAAAATCGCGTATAGCAGCCAGCTTATCACTGGATCTTCGCTCCGGCCGAGTGGCTTTTTTGTCAAACCTCAAACAGCGAAGTAAAAATCTAAATCGTTGTAACGACATTGTAAGGCGAAATATTTCAACACCAGACCCGTCAGTTTTCCACAAATCTTCTGCATTCAAACGATTAGCGTGGTAGGTTCCGGCCATGTACAGTAATCCAAGTAGGGCTCTTATTTCCACAACATTAGTCGGTAGGACATCTCTGCTGCGAGCAAATTTGTCTGTTATTGACTCTATATATGCATTAGTACAGATCACGATCATGTTGATCATTTCATCATTGATGAAATATTCCCATATTTCTAACGAATTTTTCAAAGTCCGTGTTACTGCTGAAGGACCGGGTAAACGCGTTATAATGTTCTCTTTTCTCGTCCTCACTGTTCTGGGAGTAGATGAATGTTTCCTCCATCGGGTTCCATCCTTTCCGATAAACGACAAAGAATTACTGAGGATTTCGTCTGTTTCTTCAACATCAGATATGTCTTGTTCAGAATCACTATTTTCAAGTTGTTCTTCCTCGTGATCTGATTCAGCTTCTTCTGATTCGTCGTCATAGGCGTCATCCAAAATCTCATTATTTTCATCCATCACGTGCTCCATCATTTGCCTGAGTCGCTCTTGCTCCGCCTCATAAGAAGCCATTACTGAAACGATTGGCAATAATGGTTTTGCTGCCACAAATTAAAGCATAAGAAAATACCTTAGTGATTATTTTGATAATAAAAAAAGTTACGTCAGTAGTCACCGCGGTCTCACAGACCGCAAGTGCTTCCAATTGCAGGCAAACAAACCCAACGTCACTCAAACTCACACTGCCCATCCGAATGCACAACTTATGAAGGTAGATGGAGAGGGAGTTCGAACCGCCTTTAATTTATTTCGCAAATTAAGAATAAATACGCTTGCGGTCTCTGAGACCGCGCGCGACTACTGGAAGGTTAAACATTGAATGAGTTTATTTCGTGCTTCCTCATGTTTGGGTAACCATGTAATTTGACCTACAAAGCTGGTAGTAAGTTGATATAATGATGCTGCTATGGTTGAAAATTTAGAAATAAATTGACGAAAGTAAGACGCCAAGCCGAGTAATTGTCGAACTTAACGGCATTGTCGAACTTGACTGCGTTGTCGAAATCGGAGAGTTTACAAGTGCCGCAGTTTTTCGCGAGTTAGGGCGTAGTTCCCCACCTTTCACTGAAAACCCAAGGTATTCAATCTGAGAGTTAAGGAATTTGCATTTTTTCACTTTAAATGAGAAACCAGCATTAACCCGGCAACCCTACGCTACTTTTCTATTGAGAACATCAAACATGTTGTTACTTCTCTCCGTAAAATCAATAGTACCTTTACGACTATTTAAAGATTCAGTTTTTTTACTATATTTCAATCCACTGGCTACTGAATTGCTAAAAGTCTATTAAAAATAATGCATAGGAAATTAAGTAATGTGAATTGCTAATTTAACACTCATTTTTAATAAATTAAACGGTTTGATGTGCATAGCGGATATATGCGAAGGTTAAATGTCAATTTTGTCTCATGTTCAGAGAGTATTTCGTAATGCTTCCATTGTACAGAGCCTTTAGGAGTCTGAAGAAAAAACACCTATACATATGGTGACCATATTTTTTTTGAAAAAAAGAAGTACACCCCACCCAATGAAAATTACAAGTTACTTTATTCTATTTTTTTATTTAAAAGCGTAGATGTACAGGGTTTTCATAAATGATTATAGGGTCGCAGTAGGTTATGGATGTGTGCCGCCTTTCGCATTATGTGTACTTTACTAAATGTGTCCTTGGGCACGACAAGCACCACATGCATCTGTATAACTGGTTGCCTAAATGCTTCATGATTAAATATCGAAAACGCATGCGTCAATACACATGTGACATGTGACTAACATAACAAGGCGATACTGGCGATAACAAGTGAAATTTTTGGTTGGCTGTTGATATACACACGCACAAATTCCAATAACTAAATCATCCACGGAAAAAGAAGTTCCACGTTTAGGAGTATATTTGTTATGAAGTGCAGGAGGCGAAGCGCCCGTGTGTCCTTTCAAAAAGTTAGCACGCGTTGGTGACCATAAAAAGTTAGGTTATGTTAGCAACGGCTGCAATGCTGCAATTAAAGAATGCACGAATGCGAAATTTAACAAATTTTTGTGGCAAAAGGAAGCATTTGCATAACATTTGAAGATGAGGAACGTGATCAAAAGATGCTGTAGAAGAGCTTTGCACAAACAGTTTGTGCGAAATCGAGAAGCGCGTGTTCTGCGCGATGTTACGGAGTTAGATAAGCGCAAATGTAGTTCATTTTCAAACTGTTTTTCAGAAGTTGAAGGCGCATTGATGACCAGTGGGACCAAGGGCCTTTGGTGGTTAAATATGCCTTTATATACATGGACACCAGATGCATGTGCTTAGAAAGATGATTTTTGATTAAGAACTCAGAGCAAGAGTATCTTTAATGGTGTATACAAATTTGACAAACAACGCATTTTAATGTCTGATAACTACATTTCCTATCCATCAGTTCTACTTCATGAAAGTTAGTTTTGGTTTGTGAGTGCATTAAATGTTTTACAGCAGATTCTTTAGCTACATTATCAAAACTTATCTGGGTGGCAAGTTTATGGGACTTACTGACCAAAAGGTCATGGTGAATAGCTGTAAGTCATAAAGTAGATGAAATTCTTGACCAAGATGTATCCTTCAGTAGTTTCTTCAAAGTGTCTAAATATGTTTCCAGCCCTCTATTGGTTTACCACCAAAATATTTGTATTTCAAAGATCTGTGCAAAGATTTGGCGTGCATGTTGGTGTTAATGCCTGCGTTCTTTTGATAACACTGGGCCCATGACTTCATGCGCTCTTTATTTTGAAAGTAGTAAGTGTTTAAATAATTCACAAATTTACTTTTTACCAAAAATTTAATCAGCTCTTGCTTCAGTCATAAATTTATTTTCATCTGTTTCTTTTAATACATAATCTAATTTTGTAAGAATCTGATTTATTGTTCCAGGCATTCCAACATGTAGCTGTAACTATCATCTGTCATGAAATAATTGGGTACCAAAACCGATATTAATGATTTTATTTCACCAACCAGAACCTCTTATATGTTGGTGTCCTTTCAGTTGGACAGAATAAATGTTACTGGATAATCAATATTTTTATCATCTAACACATGGACTTGTGGTCAATTCAATGTCATAGAGGTTTGTCCCATGTGTGCCATCTACACAAATGATTTTGGCGCCATATTTTTTTAACATATACTCCAGCCCACTGTACATGGAAGCTAATGCAGTCATTTTTGTGCAATTTTTCATGTTCTGATGCACAACAAGATTTTCCTTACTTCATTTACCAGATATATTATTTTTTCTGCAATGTGGGGAATGTCTTTCATAGTCAGAAGATTAAATCTGGTACATGAACTGAGTTCTAGATTTTTAACAGTTTCAATTATTTTTTCGTGTGTTAAACCAGTGCGAATTTGTTCAACTAGATATGTCGTTTCTTTTGTAGTCAGGGGTTGACAGCGAAGATCATTGTGATGAACAACATGAATAGCAATAAACTGAACAAGTACCACTGAGGAAGAATGATCAAAGTGAGCTGTAATTCGTGAAGGACAGACTCCTTGCATTTTGATACTGCCACTAGTTTTAGGAGCTCGTATATTACATTTACTAACAGAATTTGCTAGATTACTTCTGACATTCATAGTAGAAAATAATAATTCGTCATATAAAAGAATTAGTTTTTAACTCTAAATCTGCTTTTCGTGTAAAAAAAATCTTCCGTTTTCTTAAATTGTAGATCCTTTACTTCCAACTCAATGTTATAAACGATGTTGAAATGATTCGTTAATAAGTGAAAACGCTGAAAGTTTTCAAAGCATAGCGGACAAATTATTCTGCTAGTTTTTAATATTTTTGAAATTGTCGCCGTGAAAATATCTTAGATGTCGATTTGTACTTGAAATTATTTCACACAATAAGCACATTTTGTTAACAGTTCAAACTTTTGGATGCTCATACTGAAATATGTTTTGTCATGTCTAGTGCTTGTTTTTACTTAATAAAATAATAGAACTTTATCTGTCCATTGTCCTTTTCATAAAAATTACACGAAATTCTTTAATTAGCCACAAAACAATAGTATATTACAAAATTAATATTTCACTTCCCGCCACAAAAGTACATATTCAACGAAAATGTATAAACGTAAAAGATAAAAATCCAAATATAACTTTGACTGCTGGGTAGCTTCTAAACCCTCATCGTAGAGTCATATAAAATCAAGGACCACCAGATGGGTGAACGGACACGGATAATAATCAGAGTTTTTACGGTTTGAGATTTCATTCAGTTCTATCAAAAATTTTATTGTACATAATAAATAGGTATTTAGAACGTAGTGTCAGCATTTTCCGTCGAGTGAGCTCGGCAGCCGGAGGCGGCGGGTCGCCAACGGTCGAGACTGCCCGAGCAACACCGACGCGGTGACGGCAGGAACAGGAATGGACTTGTGTTCGGATGCTGATACACGATTGTTGCGTTTAAAAGAATAAACTGCTAGATTTTGCGTTTGGTTTCTTTTTCATAAAACTGTGCTGACATCAGGAGTGGGATTCTTTAAACCCTTGCGTGCACTTGTACGACAATGCCGAAAGAGCAGCGACGCCATAAAAAAGACAAACCGCGACGTTCGCGTCGGAGTGAATCTAGTGATGGTGCAAGTGGGTCTCGTTCACGGCATGAGCGGCGGCAAAAGCACAAGAAGTTGCGGGAACCGACTCCAGAACAACAACTTGCGAGACGGCACCGCTTGCGATCTCACTCGAGGACGAGGAGTGGCGACAGTCCTGGTCGCAGCAGTCCTGGTCCTGCTTCTGTTTCGCAAATCAGTGAGGCTATAGCAGCTGGGTTTGGTAAGCTGGCAGAGCAGGTGGAGGTGCGTGAGACTCGCCAGCAGGTAAGTGGGATTCCCCTTTCTACGGCCGGCAGCATTATTGCCGAATTCGATCCTTTAGAAAACGATGTTGACGAATGGTTAGAGTCGATTGGTGAGGACGCTCAAATTTATAATTGGGACGACAGGACAACGTGTCATTTGGCGTTGAGCAAACTAAGAGGCCCAGCGCAAACGTGGTATCGGACACTGCCTAGTAGAGTGTTTACGTGGCCCGAATGGCATGACATACTGTTGCGAAATTTTCCACCAAAGCGCGATCTCCATAAGGCGATTCAAATGATGATGGCGTACACCCCAGAGCAGTGTAAAACACTCTACGAATATGCGTTTAATAAACTTGCGCTAATTAATAAGCTAAAATTAAATATTAACCCAGCTGATCGCGTAAATTTAATAACGGGTGGAATTTGTGACGAGAAAATTAAATTCTCGGTCCAAGCTGCAGGTATTACGGACCCAATTGTTTTGGCGGGACATTTAAAAACCATCGATGATCGAGTACTTGCAACGCAATCCGCAACCCGACACGTTTCTCACATTCCAGCGACGCGGGCTCCAGTTTCATCTATTTATAGAACTCCAAAACAAACGTCATCTCTTCCGCGAAATGATACGGGTAATAAGCCGGTCCTCGGCCCAACTTGTTTTAACTGCGGAAAATCCGGTCACTTCCGTCGATTTTGCCCTGGTAAAAACCAACAAACGTCCTCACAATGAAAGTTTTGATTTCTGTTTAGTTTTTGTGTTTCTCGATGTTGTTTATGTTGCTGTGTGTTGGCGTGCTTCTTTATTTTCTTTTTTTTTGAGCCGGAAGAACCCGCCATCGTCGACGTCACTGACAGTCGAAACCAAATAACTGCGCGTACAATCAAGGACCAAGCTGCTCAAAAGGCTCGTTTCGACCGTGTTCGAACTGCTGGTCAACCATATCAGGAGGGAGACCTGGTGCTGATCCGTCTAACTAGCGGCCCTGCAACCGGAACTAGCCGAAAGTTACTGCCCAAGTGGCGTGGCCCATTCCGAGTTACCAAGGTTTCTGGAAATGATCGGTATGAAGTCGCAGACATACCGGGAGCAACCAGGTCCAAGTTGCAGTACCGTGGAGCGGCCGGCATCGACAATATGAGGTCGTGGGTCGTGTATGGGTAAGGTAGTACGGTTCAAATAGGGAGTAGTCCATGGTGATTGGCGCTACTCGCATTTGGCCGGCTTGTGGATTGTTGATGCTCGCTGATTCAGGCTTGACCAGAGGTTTCTGTGTTTGATAGTCTGGTGGGTGGCAGAGCTGGGTGACGATCACACAAGGTGTAGTTTTAGTTTTGTTTTGCGTTATTATTAAGTATTATGTTCATTTAAAAATTAAGCTTACTTCTATGCGTTACATTTAATATTCGCCCTCATTTATTTTGTATTGTATTCTTGCATTATGTAAGTTTGGCCAAATTTACCCTGTTTTCTTCCAGTTACCGTCCCCGGCAGACAGGCAGCTTGCTCTCTGATTTATATCTTTAATGTAGGAGAAGTGACGATCAAAGTCTAAGCCTGTATGTATGAGTTTCAGTCCGAGGACCTGGACTGAGGTGCCCATGTCCGTCGAGTGAGGACACTCTCCATGTCAGGAAAGGCCGTGTCAGCATTTTCCGTCGAGTGAGCTCGGCAGCCGGAGGCGGCGGGTCGCCAACGGTCGAGACTGCCCGAGCAACACCGACGCGGTGACGGCAGGAACAGGAATGGACTTGTGTTCGGATGCTGATACACGATTGTTGCGTTTAAAAGAATAAACTGCTAGATTTTGCGTTTGGTTTCTTTTTCATAAAACTGTGCTGACAGTAGTGTGATTTCATTTTAAGTATCAAGCTTCAAAATATACTTTCGTTGCTAATTTTAAAGACTAGTTTTTGATTTTTGTTGTTTTTTTTGTGTACAGATTCGTTTCAATGCAAAATTAGGTCACCCACATAGAATTTGAACATTTGAAATTACGCGGGCGTAATTTGTTACCCTCATGCGCAGAACTCCAACATTCTTGATAGTCAATTTGTTGTTAAAAATAAAAATAATTCATAATGGAATAAACAAACAATTTTATTGTGGTTAAACATCACAGTAAATGTTGAAAATGTTCACCATTTAGTTCAAGGCACATATTCACTCTCTTTTTCTTACTTTCAAAAATGTTCTGTAACATCCTTCCATCAATGCTTTGAACCCATCGTTCAATTTCATGTTGCAACTCTGCCAAGTTATTCATTTGCCGTTGAAACACTTTGTCTTTCAAATATCCAAATATTGAAAAGTCCAATGGCGTAAGATCTGGGGAACGTGGTGGAAATGCATGCTGCACTCCTAAACTTATTACACGATCGTCATAATGTTGTTGTAAATATTCCAATGTAGCACGTGCAGTGTGTGCAGTCGCGCCGTCCTGTTGAAAGTACCCTAACTGCAGCTCTTCGTCATCAAGTTGTTGAATAAATGGTTCCAAAATCTGTTGCCTATACCTCTCTCCAGTCATAGTATCATGAAAGAAAATAGGTCCATATATTCGTCTACGAGAAACTGCCAACTATACTCCAATTTTTAAAGGATGAAGAGGCGTCTCTACAAAAACATGTGGATTTTCCGCGGACCAAATTCTAAAATTTTGCGAATTGACATAGCCAGATAAATGAAACCATGCTTCATCACTAAAAAATGTAAGATCCAGTAACCCGTCATCATGAAAAGTATTCTGAAACCAATTGCAATATTCTACGCGGCGTGGAGGATCTATTGGTAAAAGTTGTTGCACAGTAGTTATTTTGTAAGGATGCATATGCAATCGTTTTTTCACTACTTTGTGACATGTGGTTACGGGAACTCCTGACTGTTGAGATAATCTTGTCAAAGATGTTTGGGGATTCTGCTCGAGTCTTTCTCTCAAATCATCAACAACTTCCTCAGATACTGCAGGTCTCCCAGAAGATTTCCCTTTGTTGACATTGCCAGTGCGAACAAATCTGTTGATGACATCTCTAATGTGAGCCTCTAATGATGTTTCTTGAATTTCCAAATCAGGGTAATTGGCCAGATATTCTTGCTTACAAGCGGCTACAGAATACAGCCACGCTCCGTCTACGAATGTCCCATTGCGATAATAAGACATAACGATGAAAGTGTTTTGCTCAACCGAATAAACCATTTTCACGGTCTTCGCTTCGAGCACAAAGTTTTCGCACGCAAGCACCAAGAGCCTTAAGAAAGGCTATTTTGTTGTTTTAAACTTGGATCAACGAGAATTACTGTAAATCACACTTGGAAAGTGGTAGAACAATAAAAGCGATGATTTTAAGTGACAGGTTACAAATGACAAGCACAATGACAAGTGAGAACTGTCAAATGAGACAATTTCAGCAAAGCGGCATTTTTGAAATCCATGGCCAACTACGCCCTTAGAATCATTTATGAAAGCCCTGTATTAGATATTAGATGTAGATGGCTTGTTCCAGTCATACTTTTCTGAACTTAATATTTGTTTTAATAACTGTGGATTAGATTTCAAGTAATGAAACATTTCATTACACGTTTCTTCGAAGTTCATGTACACCTGCATAACAGCTTCCAAGGTGGACAGGCCTAGGGCGTTCTTCTCACTAGTCCAGTATTTGTTGATGTTAGAAAATAGTCTCTCAATGCTTGCGCTTGTCCCTGTCAACAAATTTCATTATTATTTGAAACACTGAAATGAATCAGCTGGTTTTGTACCTGGAAGGCAGAGGGCAAATTCGCATAACATTTTCAAGTTTATTGGTGTGACTTGATAAGGAATTGCTTCTATGTACTTGAAAAATTCTAGCCAACGAGTTTCAGTAGGAGTTTTTTGGCAATTCCAAGAAGTAATTTTTTCATCCGTAGCAAAATTCTTCAATAAGCTAAACTCATCAAAACAAGCATCAGCATTCACTTTATCGCCAATTTCCCCGTTACAAGCTTCGTATGAAAGAAGAATTTCGTTCCATTTTACTTCTTTTCGCAGGGCGATCCATTCGAACAATTTCAACTCGGATAGATTTGTTTTCCAATTTTCCAAATAATTTATACAACTTGAATAAAATTTCTTTGCAGTGGCTGAAAATTCTTGACGATAATTCATTATGTTATCGTTGTCCAGATTTTCAAGTTTACTAAGTGATCCTCTCACTTTAGCGAGCAGAAAAACTTCATTTAAACGATTTTCTAGTTTATCCTTCAGAGTGAAATATTCCAAAGCGGCTTCAGCTGCGCAAACTTTGTTTCCTTCAACACTTAAAATAGCTTGATGAAATAGTGAAGCAGCATTGTGAACAAACCACAGCCAAATTTCTCCAACAGGATTCCCGAAAAATTGTTTCAGAATAGTAGGGCAATTTTCCAAAGACAGAAAGTAGGTCTGCAGCGGTTTATACATTTTTAAAATTCTCTCAACAGCGGGCATTAAACTTAAAAATCTGGTTTTTGAGAAGGATAACATTTTTTTATATTCCATGTCAACTGCTTCACAAAAAGATTTCAAGTGTGCTACACGAACTGTATAAATGTAAAAGTGTTTGTATATTTTGACAACAATAACTTCAATATCTATTGGTAAAGAGTCAGTGGTATTTTGAATGCAGTTGTTGAAAATATGGGCCACGCAACCAATGCCAACAATAGATTTACCACATGAGTTTGTTAATTTAGAAAATAAATTGTTTTTGCCTTTTCTTTGGCTTCCACCAAAATTCGTATTGGTATTATCTGCTGATAAACCTGCACACTTTTCTACAAGATTAAATTTTGACAAAGCATTGTAAACATAATCCTTCAGTTGGTCAGATGTTTCGCCAGGTAGATCTTGTAATTGCAGTAGTTTAACTTGGATGCCTTTTTCTTCATCAAAATATCGGACAAGTAGTGGAACAACCTTAGTTTCATTATGATTTGAAGAATCAACAATAATGCTAACAAAATGAGTTTTTTGTAAAGCGTTTTCAAGCCTTGATTTCGCTTCTTTTGCGAGAACGTTTTTTGTAATGGCTTCCGTTTTTGTTCTGGCTGACATAAACAGGCAATGAGTTTTGAAGTACAGTCCAAGGATCTAAAACTCTGCATATGCTTAATTGTGTGGTAAGCAACCGTACCTTCTTTAGCTGCAATAAGCAAATTTTCAGAACTCACTTCATCTTTTTTAAAAAACGTTTGGAGTTTCTTGCTCGATTGTGACGCTATCTCAGCTAGCCGATGCTTTTTCTTGTTTAGATGAGACTTTATATTGCTGCGGCCACTGTTTGAAATGTCCACTTCGCTTTAACAAATTTCACAATAAACAATGTGGGGAGAAGCACTGGACTTTAGTTTCAAGAATGGATATTCCCGTTGTAGTTCTGAATTAAAATGGCACTTTCTCCGGGGTGGAGACATTTTTGTCGCTATTTTCAAACAAAGCCCAGCACACTCTCTGTACTAGCTCCGGAATAACTAAGCAGGAATAGGAACGGAAGAATCACGCACAATGTGATGTGACGACTGATGAAATATGACATGCGCATGACGCCCGACGACCGTATGCACAAGAACGCTGAGTACTCGATGAAGAGATGCTGCAGTTGATAGAGTGGAATGGACATATGTAACATTAATAAATATTAGATATGACTTCGAAATCATATGATCATAAGTTAGTAAAAAAAAGTACATTTTAATGTACTTTGCTCTTCTGTGAAGACAAAAGGACATCGTTTCCAAAAAAAGTACTGTCCTATTAAAATAAGTACATATGGTCACCATACCTATACACAAAAATATGATGTGGAATTACATACTTCTAAGATTCGTTTTTGAAGAAACCCGTTCCATAAACATTTAGGCCCGTTATTTCTATTCATAGTTAACTTATGGTTAACAGTTAACCTATAGTTAAATGCAAAGTACCTTATTTGAATTGAAGATTATATTCAACCCTGAAGTTTACTCGTAGTTAACTTTACCAGCACATGTAGTATGAGTTAATTGATAGTTTTCAATTATACTACAAGTGTCATATTTAATTTAAAAAATGAACGACTACGGGGGAAAAGAAAAGTGGTTCGGGAAAGGGTAAACCATTTTGAAAAGTGGAAGGAAAAGCATTTTTTCAGCGTTTTCGCATATTAAGGCGAACAGTTGAAAATTTGATAGAAGAACAACGTTATAAGACATCCTACGGAGAGGTATGCGGGTCCTGACATTAATTTTTTTTAAAGTAATGATTTTCTTAATTAATAATTCAGCTGTTTCTCCGACAGACCAAGTACTTGATTCTGCGTGGGTCGACCTTATTGTTATCACAGTTTTAAAAGATAACTAAATACGTCACTATCAGATCCTCACTTTCACTATCAAAAAGCGGTGTTGAGCCAGAAATCACTTCTCCCAATAGTCCTTTGATACCATTAACAACCTCAGAAATTTCCTGAAATTCTGCTTTAGCTCCACCAGTTTTTCTTTTTCATTGTGTGAAAACTTGGGTTTCGTCCCTTTTTTTAAGTCATTATATTTTTGTTTTAAAATTTCAAAACTACGAAAATTTGTTGATGTTGCGACGAAATTTCGGATGGCACGGACGGTCCGGTGACGGTCCGGAATTTCTCCGATAACGTATGGTGGCGGCGTACTTGGGTGCCAAACTTTGGGTCGACTAGTATCGTTGATATCAGAAACACGTCTGGTCGACCAAGCTTATGCGGCGAACTTCACGCCACCGGAGGTGGCGCCTTCGGTCAGGAGCGGCGGTCGCTCGGGCGCCAGCTCCCTCTCCGAAGGAAGGAGCGCCGGGGTGCTCTAAAGCCGGAGACACGGAATTCAGGTGGTGAGCCTCCGCGAAAACACGAGAATAAAGAAAATAAAACGGCAAGGATATTTTACAA